GAGCTGGTTTCTCCAGGTAGACTACTTGGTTGGAGAATACAGCACACAATCAAACGAGGTTGAAATGTTGATAATGCCTGCAAAGATTAGCCTTCAGTGTTTGCTAACTCAGGACAAGAAATGAGAGAGCATCATGAGAAATGATGAGCATGAGTATAGCAAAACTTCAGTGCCACATAAAGAAGTGTCCTCATTCTAAACTAAAACTAGAATCACTACTCTAATTTCCGGCTTTATAAGGCCACAACAAAAACCACCGCAATGTAAATACTTTGTGACCACACTATAGCAACTTTGACATTAAAAATAATACTGAGACTTGCAATTATGCAATGCATAATTTCTTAAAAAAAAAAAACAAAACAAAAAAAACACACACAAAAAGATAACAAAGACAATCAGAACAAATTAGTCGGTTGCATTGCTATCTTGATTGCCAGGCCAGAATAGGTCTGTTACCAAGACGGTTTACTATTTTAACAGTTTGCAAAGGCATATATGTATGTTAGATGGGGGAAGTCTCCAGCAAGCCTCCAGCACCATCATTAATCCTGAGTTACTTAATCCCCTCTAGAGATGAAACAAAAATGCCAGACTGTTTGTCCATGATCCAAATATTGATATTCTACAAAGTGTTATTAATGTGCTACATAGCCTACCCAAATACTAAATCATACTCAGCAAAAAAATGAAAAACACAATAAATTCCAAAATAACTAAAGGGAAATTATAATGTTTTAGAAAAAGAAAAAAACAACAGGAAGTCTGTAACATTAATAACATAAACCTGCAAGCTCACTTGTAACCTCTGAGGTTACAATTGAGGCATGTGTGGAAGGAAAGGGAATCTCTTCTTATTCTTACCAGGTATAGCTGAATCTTATGCCTGTGAGCAACGTTTCTGTGCTGTCATGCTATAAAATGTTTAAGTGATAATAACATGTGATTCTACAATCATTTTGGATAAACAGGAGCTCTGCATTCTGGAGCTAGGTAAAAAAAAAAACAACGCAAAAAACCAAAAAACCAAGCACAGCTCAATCCAAATGTAAACAATTGTTCTACCGAAGAAAGAAAAAAAGCTTTCTGGTAGATCTTGTTTCTATAGTTTTAAATGTATTTTGTAGAATATGAAGAAATCTAAGAACTTTCTTAAATTGCTAAAGCACATAAGCATTTAAGCTAGAAATTTTAACAGCAATCTGACCTCTTATGATTTCAGTAAAACACCAACTCATTAGGCCTGCAAGGCTTGTAATGTCTACTAAATACAATATTCTTAAAGTAAGCTCCCTCTCTCCCCCCAAGTCCTGCCCCCACCAAATCCCACAATACCTGTAGGTTTAACAGAATAGTACCCAACAGCCTCTCCTTGCTTCCACATGATCTTAGCATAGTCATTGCTACGATGACAGAGAAACGGGACATCATCTGTTTCCATTTCTTGTGTCCGATAGATAATTCGATTAAGAACATAGAGAACAATCCTCTCTCCGACAGTTTTCACCTAAGGAAACACAAAAAAACATTTTAGAAGAGTTGTCAAATTAGTTAATACTCATCCATCAGGGACCTTGTTTTTCAAAGTTGCCAGTTAACACAGCTGCAGATGGAGTCAAGAGAAGCTGCAAAAGCAGGATGAAGCTCTGTGGTTTGTTTGCGGGCAAGGAGATGCTTGGAAGCCATGGCAATAGGTTAAGTATAAAGCACTACCATAGACAAAGGGTATTTCACGACTTCAGTGTCACTCCTAATCCAATGGGTAAAAGCTGAGAGAAGTGCTGTGAGTGGAGTGGTGGTGGAAATGTTTTGATTTTAACTCAAAACTATTTCTGGATTTAAGAAATATTCACCAAACACAATAGCAGTACACCAGCCTCAGACTTCCCAGGCTAGCAGGTAATTGGAATCCTACAAAGAAATTACAAGCCTCATAGTGTAGCAGGACTTGGCATGCTCAGTCACTATTGACAGAGTGGCAGACAACAGGACATGATGCAGTGGAAGAATTAGCTACAACAGTAGGAACTCAATAACCTTTCTCTGTCCTGCAAGGTTCATTTACATATGCAATTTAAGTTCACCACTATTCTACCCACTGTGAAGGAAGAACAGAGGAATTATACTCTCTTCCCATGTCCAGAGTCTCAGCTATCCTACCTGTAAAAGGTTCAGCATTCCGATTTAATCACCATCCTACCATTAAGAAGCACATGTAAAACAAGGCTACATGCCAAATTCTCTAGAGTAAATAAAAAAATAGAAAAGATCAAAGATGAGTGCCCAGATTACAAATTACACTCCCAGAAAAATACAAATTTCCAGTTTTGGAAAAAAAACAAAACTCCATGCTACATACATGTCAGTAGTGGCAACAAAGGTCAATGATGAGCAATAAAGCAGACACCAGGCAACCTGCTTTCACAAACCTCATGTAGTGCCACTGCAAGCCACCAGCTCCAACTCATCTTTATCAAACAGGTTCCTGACAATATTTTTAGTTTACTAGTCTTCTGATAAGACAAGCAGGTACTGCTATGGTACAATGCACCATTCTACTAAGACATTTCAATACAACTATGCATACAATGAGTAAAGAAAAAACTTTTAACATCATTAACACTTAAATAGCTTGCATATGAGGCTACTGTACGAGATCCACTCTTGCTCTACATACTATCTTCACAACCAAGTTCCCTTCCCTGTAGTACCTATTCCTCTATTCCCATTGACCTTGCTTTTGACTTGAGACAGCCACCTCATTTCTGAAAGAAACGAAAACATGTTACATCTCACATACTACCTATTTGCCATTATTTGCCATTATCTGCAAGGATAAGAATAATTGCTAGGTGAACACTGGAGCGCTTTACCTGCTGAAGACCCTGTCTACCAGGGATAGACGTTCTCACAATGTCATCAATTGACCACCACCGGTCAGCAAGATACAGGGCTACAGCTTGGAAGAAACAAGGGGAAATACAGAGTTAGTGATTCTTACCATTCCAAAAGAAAGAGATTCATTAAACCTACTAAACAATTACGAATAACACTGCAGTAACCAAGGTAAGCATCTTCTAGTTGGCACTGTATTAATGCAGCTCTTACTACCCTAGCACAACAAATGTGGTGCTATACATGCCCCCACATGCAATGCTCCCTAGTCCAAAACTTGTTTGAAAACTGAGAACAATAAAACCAAACACAGACTTTGCACAGTATGACATACAGGAACTGCTTTTCAGACATAATCACTGTTGTTCAACACTGTGCTCTAACACCTTCTTCCACTAAACACTGGGCCTACCAAGAGGAGTACCATTCATACATGTATTTCAGTTTGGTTGTTGATAGATATTGATACTGAAACTATGCAAGTTTTAGGGAGTCAGTTGAATATAAAAAGGCTGATGGCCATGTAATTAGCAATCAGGAAGAGTTTGATCTATGGGCATTTGGCATTAAATGGAAAGAGAGGGAAACATGGAGGATTGGAAAGGAAGGGAGAAAAGGAGGGGAAAAACACCCCAAACCAGTGAGATGTCATCTTAGCCAGATGTATGTTAGGACCTAAAGGTAAAGACAAACTTACACCTGATGCTGATCCATCACTGCTAATAAAGACCCATAATTCATGGGCAAATTCTAGGGATTCTACAAATGCTCAGTAAATTTATTTTGGAGAGGTGAGGTGTACATAAAGAGATCATGAGATAAACATTGTACTTAGATTCAGGTGAGCACCATGTTATTTTGCTACCTATCTTCCAAATTCAATGGGTCCAGTTCTACTCTGATTAGTGTGCAAAATTTATCAGTTGTGTACATGAATCCACAAGAAAAATAACAGTATGGGAACAAGAATGCAATGAATGAAAAATGCAAAAGTGGCAAAGTTATGAGCTACACTAGAATGGAACGAGCAAGGGCCTGCTTACATGTATTTGTCACAGAAAAAACAAAAGAGCAACACAGAGATTAAAATCGTAAAATGAAACCTGTGAGACAGTCCGTTGGTGCAAACAAGGCAAGAACTTTGTGTGTCTGCTCTTCACCATAAAGAGGAACGAAGCTCACACTTGACAAGCTAACAGAAACCTGAAACAAGAGTGTACAATACTTCAATAGACTCTTGATATAAAAGAACATTAGTAAAATATACAGAGGATGTTGAGCAAGGTAAGCAAGACAAACGTTGAAAACCACGTGCTTAACAATTAACCGTAAAGGACGAGCATCAGACCCCAGCCCTTACGTTAGATATTTCTTCCCACGGACAGACTACATTATAAAGAGCTCTGATGAGCTCTGGCAGATTTAGTTACAGTAATTTATACTGTTACACTGCTCTGCTGTCAGCAGTTTGCATTTATGTGCTCAACTGAAGTAAGCTGTGCAAAGTAGGCTCATTTCAACTGCCCCAGCTATGCAAGCTGTCAAAGCCAATGGAAGAACGATGCAGGCAGTCAAGCATAGAAACAAACTGGCACAGCATAACTGCTGTTTGTTAACATGAGCCCTAATGTGCTAAGGTGGGAAGGCTGGATTCATAAGGGTTTTCTTCCCTTTAACTGCACACATTTTAGAAATTCCAAAGTTGTCTGCTTGATTTCCCTCAGTAATAACATCAGAAGGGTCAAATCAATCCGTGTTGCAGAAGTTGAGTACCTTTGTGGAAATGCATTTTGGTGTTTAAATTCACATGTTTTCAGTATTTAATTAAGAAATAAAATTAGACAGACATTAATGATGTGGTAAATAGGACTTCCTTACCTAATTTAAGAAGATTATGGTATAATATGCCACAAATGAAAAAGTTAACACAAACAAATATTTAGGCATACAGCACCTGCAGAAATGCAGGGAAGTGCTCAGGACTCTGCTTCTGCCAAGGAATCTGCAGCACTGACTTTTTGTTCCCACAGAGAATCTTCTCAGCTTACTTAGCTCTCATGAAAGCTATGCACCACTGCTTTTATTGGTATTAATTTTAAAACAAATGTTCATCTAGACAGAACCAACATTGACCAACTTATCATGCAAAGGATAGGTGTTTAAAACATGAAGCGTCACAGCCAGCCTCTATTAGGTGTCACAACAACAGCAGGGAATATATTTCAGATAAAAAGAAAAAAATAGCTTCTGAAATTAGTGAAACTTGCTGATCAAGAATTGAAGCCAACCATGAAGAACACCGATGGACTGAGATACAAAAAGAGACAGTTAGTTTCAGTAAATCAGGAACCCCTTAGTTACAATGATAGATTTTTATGACCATATGAGTTAGTGCTTTTTAGGAAAGAGTTTGACTCATCAGTTGAAATTTTAAGGTTTTTTTGAAATTACTTAATGCATACAGATCCATTGCCTAGAAGGAGCAAATAGTCACTGACACCCCAATTTAAACCCAATTATAGAATGATAAAAAAGTAGAGCTTAACACACAAACAGGATATTAGAAAATACAAAAGCTTTGCTGAAATAATTGTGTAATTCAATAGTTATGGACTGGATATTTTAAATCTTTTAAATCTATGAGTATATCAAGAAAACTGGGACTAAGGTATTTTCTGGTTCTTACTTTGCCTTGACCTGGCAGAGAAAAGAATTCAGGACGCTTTGGATTCTCACGCCGAAGGTAAGCCAAGTAGTCCTCTGCTGATCTCTCCAAGTCCTCATGGCTGCAGCTGCCCAACATATCCACAGGGAACAACATCCTCTTGAGAAATAAGCAACATTGTTACTGTAGGTAGTTTGAGAGATACAACACGCAGTTTATCACACATTCCTACTAAGCACATAACTAGCACTGTTGAACAGCCTCACTCAGCTACTTTCTAGAGCCCTCTACATCCAAGGCAGAAAGGAAAAATGCTTCAGGCATTTAACTAGGATGGTGCCTTTTAGCACCCAGTCTGTAAAACAATACATGAGCCCAATCTGTGTTTATAAGCCGAAGAGGATGGTTTTCGCCCACAGATGCCCCTAGACCCAAACGTGGCAGATTTCCAACGTACGAGCCCCGTTTGCAGCACGTGTGCAATAGACTACACGCTGCCTCGAGGTGGCAGTCTCGCTTACGGCAGGCTCACAGCTCATGCTTCTGAGGCCACAGACTACGCAATAAGGGACTGGTCAAATAAAAAGTAAACAGCCAGAAAGATAACAACATGAAAGAGGAGTTCATTTATTTTTGGAGACTTTGCATTTAAATCCATCCTGAAGAAACCAAAGCATTGTTCAGAAATTCGCTCAACAACTGGACAGTTAGAGGGCCTACCAGCTGGTTGTTTCCAAAAGCATTTCAACTGTGAACAGGAGATGCTACAAGCTCATTAAAAACAAGAGCCCACCGACAGACTAAAGAGACCGACAGAGACACTTCAGGAGGTAACAAGACAAAAATTAAAGCACTGAAGACCAACCACAGTGGCAATAGCTCCTTGAAAGCTCTTAGATTAAAATTTTCCTCATTAAAGCACTGTTAAATTAAGATTAACAAGAGCTCCTGGAATTCACCATGTGCTTTTCAGCTAAGGCTCTTGCAGGTCTTCAACACTATACACAGAAACACATAGCTCCTTTCAAGCTACAGCCCAAACTCTCATAAGCATGAGCCACCACAGGCTCATGAGAACCTGATATGGAAGAACACAGGGACCTCTTGTTCTGTCTCGCTCAGTCCCTGGGAACTCATCACCCAACTCTCAAAACCACAAAGCTTTTCATAGGGGATTTACAATTCTTAGTCTCCATTATGGTGTCTTTCTAAAAAAAAAAATTTTTTTTAAATCCTAGTCTCCAATTGTTTTTTTCCTTTTTTGCCAGTCTCCTCCTTTTGATCCACCATTTAGTGTCCTGCTGACACAGGTAAATCAAATGCAAAGGAACTTTTAATTTTCACTCAGCAGTAATTAAAAAGACTGCATTTTAAAAGCTTTTTAATGGCAATAATATACCACTCTTAAGTTGCTTGAATAGATCAGGCTGCTCCTTCTACAGAAGATGTATTTTTGTGTTAAAATTGAAAACCAAACTTGACTGACATTTACAACTGCTAGCTTTAATACTTTTGCTGATGAAAACACTAACGGTTTCCATGAATGCTATTGTTCAGATATACACACACACACACACTCCCCACAGCTGTTTCCTGCCAAATTTAGCTCATTCCTTCCCCTTACCTGTTATTTGGATTTTTCTCTTGCCTTTTCTTCCGGACTCTCGCGTTCCTCCTGCTATTGCTCACTGCCCCTTTCAGATGCGTAGCTGCATCTCTTAATTCTCCACCTGTTTCCTCCCACCTTCCAGGTGCTGCTGCCCTTGTTAACAGGGAAGAGGCAGGCAAGACACACCAGCCAACTCCATTTGTCCTCCTGTTCCCAAGCGAAGGAACTTCCAAGAGCCAAAGGTGAGGCACGCGTGCCTTCAAATGCAGCAGCAATGCACAGCAGCCAGAGGAGCTGCTGCCGCAGAACAAACGGAGCTACCGTTGGTCTCTTCACCTCTAGCAGATATGGCTTACCCACCCATATTGCACTTCTGAAACGCTCTAACAATACTGTAGTACACACAAATGGACTAGCCTGACATTAAGTATGTCGCGAGAGCAACAGCAAGAGAGGTGAAGTGTGAGATTACATGTCACTGCTTCTACGAGAGGATGAGGCTTTAGGAACTGGTCAGCTGCAACCGGCCAGGTAAATTCTGCTTTAGGGGAAGAGAGACACATGAAAACCACAAAATTTCATTTTCTGTATGCTGGCAGAAAGCGGAAACCCCCCTCCACTATTAAAGAAATACCTAAGTGCTTGGATAACTCAGAATTACAGACAAATTGAGCTGAGCTTTCGTTAGTTATTACATGAGAAACAGACAAGCAAGCCACAAGCTATAACTGAAAGCCTCTAGGTAATAATTCCTGACATTTTTTTAAGAGCAGAATAATATAGGACCAAAGCAGAAAACATGCAATAAGGAATTCAGTAGATTATCTGAGTTTCAACCACTACACCACTATGAAAACAAAAGCAACAACCATATCTTTGCTTATAAGCAAAAAAGACAAAAACCTCTTTTCTGCTAATTCATAAATTCATTGAATTACCCTCAAAATCATTCAAAGAAATCCTTTCTGTTTAGCTGTTTGGGTTACTTAACACTTCATATAGCATACTTTGATTTTACCCACTCCCAACTCACTTAGATTAGTCACTTTTGACTTTTCTTCTTACATCATTTACAGGGAATGGTTTACGCAGAGAAAACCCAATACAGAGCAATCTTCAAGACTGAACGAAAGAAAACCTATTCAGCATCCCCACTAACTGTCCATCATTTGTACTGTGCAGCAGACTAGACATGTAAAGTGACAAGCTCTCAAACCCGTGTGACATAATTTATGTCAGTGTTGATGAGATCAGAGATATTTCACAACACTGTTTACTAGATCCTTGAAGAAATCAGTAAGTACACACAAAAAGCTATCAAATTACATTAAAAGGATTAAAAGGTGATGAAAGGAGAATGTCCCATGCCAATCTACAGCAGAGCTTAAGGAAGTAACTCAACAGTCCAAAATGCAAGCATCTTCATTTTGAAAGGCAAAATTACCTACCAAAGACAAACCAAATGGCTTCCAATACTAGTAAATTAATGTATTTCCCTCATAAAAACACAATTGGTTTGTCAGTGTCTAACAAAGTAAAAACACAGATGGCTCCACATCTAGCAAGTCTCAAGCAATGCACAGGAGAGAAAAAAGGAAAGAGAAAATAGATTTTCAGTTTTCCTTGACAACAGCATTATGTATTTTTCTATGCAGCTGCAGCAGGAACAGGACAGGTCTGTGCCACGCAGTCCCCTCTTTGTTGCTCTAAGACTCCATGTGTTGCATGGCTGTAAAACTGTCAGGTCAAATCCTTGTCACACATTGCGGGACCGTGCTCTGCTCATGGGGTACCACTCCAATTGGTTAGCAAACAGTCAGGGTGGCCGAGCACATGTGATGTAGCCTTAAGCAACCAAACTAATCATGACCGTTTGTACAAAAGGCTTATTAGAAGTCTGTGTCTGGAGGGGGGGGATGAAATTTATTGTATTTTTTAAATGAGGCAAATTTTGCTTCTCATGTTTCAAATGAAAGAAAATAAATCTTACATTATTCATAATCATATAATTTCACAAAACAGTGTTAAAGATTGTATGTAACAAACTCACATGAGCAACAATTGCTTTAATGTGGAATAGTATGACTTTCCCCATGTCAACATTATGCAATCTACTACGCGAGAAATGGCACGTCCCTTTTTAGGAACAGCTGCAGCACCAGAGGGTAACAGAGATCAGTTCAAGGAGCACCAATAAAAATCACCTTTAACGGGATGAGTGAACACATTCCTGTGCAACTGAGGCATTTCCTTCTTCACCAAATCTGTATTACTATAAACACTAAGGATACAAAAATTAAAAGTAGAGCAAGTGGGCAACATTGCAAATTAATTTAATCACAGCTGCAACCCCGAATTCATCTTAGAAGTGCATCAAGGAAAGATGCACAGTACATGCAACTTCCAGCTCACACATGGATTTTGGCAGGAATCAAGAGATCTGTTCATCCCCTTGCAGACCCTCAATACTGAGTGACATGAAATAGCAGAAAGATAAGAAACCAAAAGCTATATTGTTTTTACAGCACGTCAGAGGGCTTAAAAGCAGCTTAAAACTGCTTTAGGGTGCCTTAATCTTAGGGGAACTGAAATCTAAGTGGCTAGGCTGCCAGCCAAGGATTTAGAGGAATCAGGATGAATTTCCAGCTCTAGCGCAGACTTTATGTGAGCACAGACATGTTACCTGATCTGCCTGAACTCCTCATCTACAAAATGCAAATAATCGTTACCTCAGAGAGACCAGTATGAGAAATATTTTAGGGAAATCATGAGATACTTGAACGCAAATTGTATCAAAACTTGACAGTTATTGGAAGTTGACAATTACTTTCACAGCACAACTTAACTGCACAGCTCATTTTCCTTTTAAAAAGAATAAAGATCACAATCCACCAAGGACTTTTCAACATAAAATAACTGGGACAGATAAACACGCCTGGTGTAAGAAATGTGTCCAAAACTAAATTAACAGCTACATGGCAGGTGAACAATCTTCAGATTTAAACTTGTGTTTAACAATAAATAATTATAATTTAATTAGGGTGGGGTTTTTTTCTATTAAAATTTGAAGTTTAGCAAACAGACACCAGAGTGCTCAAGCTATAACTTGCAGAACTTTTCTGCTAAACCAGGACAAATAATCCAGCACCAGCCTGCAGGATACACATCAGGTCAGGTTCTGTGATGAAGTATTAGCCTACTCAGACAAAAAGTAAACTGCAGTAGTCCTTTACCTAAGCTTTGATCTATTTGAACAAGTGTTGAAGTATTGGATCCCAGAACTCCTTAAGGACTGCCATGCATTTCTTATGAATTATCACGTACCTTGAACCAAATTCTATCTTAAAAATATAATCCTACTATGATTTCCTAGACTAGCTGTAAGCTACACCTGGGTAGCATCATGAAAAGAGACATATAAAACAAACTAAATATATAACTCCATATATACAGTAGCTGCTGATGTTCCAGAGAAAACCAAGCCGGGAATGCAGAAGTCCCAAGCCACGCTCCAGAACCATATCTGATGGCGTACCAAACCAGCAAC